GATCACTGCTTAGGACAAATTGTGATAAGATTACAGTTGTTTGCATTCTTTACTTTAAAAAAGGGAATAGGTTTAACAATTTTATAAATTTTCATTTTTGATCTTTAACGTGAATGACCTTGACCTTTGCATGGTCAAAGGTCATTGACTAAGGATGACCATTCTTACTTTGATCTTTGATGTCAGATATATACTTCCGGTTTTGCAGACGTCCGAAAACAGCAATTTTCAAAGGCTCATATTACTTTTATTTGACATTTGTTGACCTTTTGACCTGAACAAAAGTTGTTGCCCCTTACGAGATATATCCGATATCTTCACTTTTTAACTTCCGGTTCTACAGCCAATTGAAAATCGCGATTTTTAACTTAAAAAAAGGTCTATCACGTGACCTAATTTATATAAGCAAAAATTTATCTTTTGTCCTTATTACACGCAATCTATTCTTTCAAATGATATATAACAATTGGTATTTTGATTAAAATTGAATTTGAAAATTTTGTATTGACTTCTATAGTAACTTTGCGTAATTTTAACGGTTTCTATAATCCAGCGACAGTCACCGTTGCCTTAAAAAAACTTTTAACTACGAATATCTCATGATCTCATGATTGTAAACACTTGAAATTTTGAACATTATTTGACATTGTACACATTATTACAGACAACACAAAATTTCTTATATATTCTTAGAGTGCATGATCTCTCCTTTTTGGTGATATATCACACTTGATATTTTGATCAAAATTGCGCGTTTTAAAAATTGAAAATTTTGTACTGACTTCTATAGTAACTGTGCGTTAATTCACCGTGTCTATAATCTACCGACAGTCACCGTTGCCCTAAAAAACGTAAAACTGCAAATATCTCATGATCTAATGATTTTAAACGCTTGCAATTTTGAACATTATTTAACAATGTAGACATCATCACAGACAAATTAAAATTTACTTTTATTTAACCTTTGTTGACCTTTTGACCTGAACAAAGGTTGTTGCCCATTACGAGATATATCCGATAATGTTTTCACTTTTGTTGCTCCCCGTTAACTTCCGGTTCTACAGCCAATTGAAAATTGCGATTTTTAACTTTAAAAAGCTCTGTCACGTGACCTAATTTACTTACGTGAAAATTTCACTTATGCCCTTATTACACACAATCTATTCTTTCAAATGATATATAACACTTGGTATTTTGATGAAAATTGCGCTTTTTAGAATTTGAAAATTTTGTATTGACTTCTATAGCAACTGTGCGTAATTGTAACGGTTTCTACAATCCACCGACAGTCACCGTTGCCTTAAAAACATTTAACTACGAATATCTCATAATCTAATGATAATAAACACTTGAAATTTTGAACATTATTTGACATTGTACACATTATTAGAGAAAACACAAAATTTTTGCAGTGGGCGTGGCAAATCCGGGTTACTTTTACCTTTACCTAAATTAATTCAAATTGTTATAACTCGAAAAGTTTGTATTTGTCACCATCGAAATTTTACATAAAATTAAAGCACTATTTGGGACAATAATTGATAGAGTTACATTTTGTTTGGGCCTTTTACTTTAAAAAAGGGAATAGGTTTTACAATTTATAAAATTTTGATATTTTTACATGCATGACCTTGGTCTTTAGAAGGTCAAAGGTTATTGATCTACGATGTCCATTCATACTTTTATCTTTGATGTCCAACATAGATTTTCGCCTTAACAGACGTCCCAAAACAGGAATTTTTCAACACTTTTAAGGCTTATATTTCTTTTATTTGACCTTTGTTGACCTCTTGACCGTAACACAAGTTATATAATCTGACAAAACCTTTCCATAAATATTTCAATTTTTGTTGTGCGATTTGTATTTTTAACTTTACAGCTATTTGAAAAATCGACTTTTTACTACCGAATGTTAACACCTTTTAGTACCGAAAGGTATCAAATCCATGAGTCTTTTCACTACCGAACGTTAAACGGTTTAAACGATTTTTTGTTACTATTGAATGTTTACATGCTTTTCTTTCCGGTAAGAAATCTCATAGTGACTTTAAAATGCAACATTTTATCGATGTATCAGGTTGGATGCGCACTGCTTCGGTACCGTTATAACGGTTCTAGTTTATAGTTAAATTTATGTGAAAAATGCTTTTACTACATACTGACAACATGCTTGGAGCATTCCTGTGGTCAATATTCTGGATTAAAATACAGATGTGACGTCATCCTTTGATCTTTGCAGACCAATATTCAACTTATTGGTACGGGCATTGTGCCTAGAGTACATTATTTTCTTAAAAAAGGCGGCAAATTTTGGACTGCTGTGACGTTGTAACATGATTGATAAATAGTCACTTAGGGTGATTTTACAATAAATGGAGTTGACTTATTTCTGAATTTTACTCATGATTGACTCTGATGTTTGGTCACAAAAATTATGTAAATTATAGTAAATCGTACGTCCGATTGTAAGATTTACAGAATCGCATTTCGCGTAATATTTTTGTATAAATCGGAATATTAACTTCAAAACAGTAATGATAGTCTGCGACTGTCCTTGTTATTATTGTCTGAGAAAAGTAAAAAAAACTTTTGAATTTTTTCCTATTATTTTTATGAGAATTGGAATAGCAGCCTCAAAATATTACTGTTAGTCTTAAGATGTCTTTGCTTTGATAAAAATATAAACATAAGCACACATAATGTCTTCAAAGTTTGCTTTTACAGTGGCCCATTTTCAGCCAAAATTTGTGACTTTTGGGGGTTGAAATTTCCCGGGGAGGGAAATGAGTTTCTTTTCAATGTAAACTGACAAAAGAGCATATTTTATCAATGTAAGGACATTCTAAGACTATCAGTACTATTTTGAGGCTGATATTCTAATTCTCCTAAAAAACATCGAAAAAAATTCAAAAAAAAAATTCAGACAATAGTTGGAAACAGATTTTACAGAGGGAAATTTTCAGTCAGTTTCACCGAAAATTGTTTATTTCAAATATGAAATTTCCAAACATTACATTTCTATGAACCCAAAGAAATTTTAAGACAAAATAACATGCAATCGAAAATTTATAATATTGTGGATATTTGTGAAATGGAAGAAAATAAATTCATTTTTGGGCTTACTGTCATCAAAAAGTAGTCATAATATATAAGATGAAATAATGTGGCATAACGCACTGATCGGAGACGTTTTTTTCAAACATATTTAGCGCAGGCCATCTAGGGTAAAATGGTATGTAACAAAATATCTAACAAAATAATAATCACTTAAAGAATATACCCTGAATGTACCCTGGATAACAAGCATGTAGTTTTTGGTATGTTGAAACAGTTTAAATAGTGTATTAGAATCATTTGTCAACAGCTATGTCTAAAATATGCAATTGAATAATAAGAAAACAATTATTTACTTTCTTATAGAGTGGTTTATTGCAAATTGAGATGCTTTTTAATAAAAAAGTTTTTATACAGCCACATTATAATGTTTATATCTATTGTCCATCTGTTCACATTAGAAACTATTGTATTGATCTATTTTAAATAGATTTTCATGTGTTTTTATATGCCCGCATGATATGGGGGGAATATATTGCCGTCACCTCTTTCCGTCGGTCCGTCCGCCAACAATTGCTTGTAAACACCCTATAAGGCACAATTCTTGACTGATTTCGACGAAACTTGGTATGGTTGATTGTAATCACCCAAGGATGAACCCTATTGATAATCAGACAAATCGAAAAATATTTACTATGAGTTATTGCCCTTGTTCTTGAAACGTTCATAAACACTCTAGAAGGTCCAATTCATGATGGATTTTGATGAAACTTGGTATGAGTGTTCGTAATCGCCCAAGGATAAATCCTATCGAAAATCCTGAACGGACATCTTGAAAAAGTTTCTATATGTGTATGTAATGGCATGTGAGTTAATCTCATGAGTAGATATTATTGTTTGTGTAATTTGCATTTGAAGTAGTTTAATGGTCCTCAAGCAGTCTAATGCGTTCAATAATGACGTAACACACGGACCTTCAATCCTTGTGTTACGATCATTAATGGACTTATTGGACTGCTTTCGGCCATAACCTATACATAATTACTTCTGTAAGCGATAAGCTTACATATCGTATCTGTTGATCAACTTCTAATACATGGAATACTCCATAATATTTTTTCAGTATAGATTTATTTGCTTCTTCATAATATTCAACCCAAGATGGCAAAGGTGGCACTCGATTAAAGAATTCTGAGCAGGTTCCATCTTTTCCAATTCTGTCCCCAATCAAACGGTTTGGAAACGGATATGTGAATTTTGAATTCTGTTTGCACCTACCTAGTTCTAAATTCTGTTTCAACTTGTTAAGTTGAACGTTCAGTTGATTCCATAAATCATGAACATGCAGAACTCACCAATCATGACATGGCCCCCAATAGTACTACCCTGTAAATGTACATCGCAAGAGGCAACGAATAATTTGATAACCAAGTTTAGATATCAATGTACCTTTCTAGGCATGATGTAAACATAGTACTTTAAGTCGTCTGTTTCTGAAGGTATATATTATGTTATATTTATACGTCCACATGGAAATGTGGATGTATATTGCTGTCCGTCAACATTTCTTGTGAACACTATAGAGACTATAGTTTTCAACTGAGAATGATATTTGGTGTGATCATTTATATTGATGAGATCTTGATCAAGTTCGAATTTGACATTCTTTCGATGTGACCAGTTTTTGAGTTATTGCCCTTGACATGGTGTGATCATGTATATTGATGCGATAATTTGATGTATTTGGGTTATTGATATTGATTTTTAAAAACTTGGTGGTATTTCTCAGCATAAATAAATATTTATATCAATGAATTCAAACTATTAAAATTTCTTTAATATAAGAAAGTTATATGTTAGTCATTAAAGACTGTTTTATCATTTCTGACAGCTGCCAGTGGGCATATGTTACCATGCCTGGCAAGCTATCTTTGTGTATATTTTAGGGAGATGGAACTGGAATGACTAGTATTTATGGTGGTCCATTTGCTGATGAAAATTTTAAAATGAAACATACAGGACCTGGTATTTTAAGCATGGTAAATGAAATACCTTGATTATATTTTGTTTATCTGAGAGTCAGTATCTATCTGTTTAATATAGATTAGGAATTGTACAGAGTGTTTCAATTATAATGGATATATTTTCTTAAAAAAAATTTAGATGACAAATCTTAATTTTGATAGTGACTTCAGATTATGTTTCTTAATGAAATATATCTTAATGATTTGTAGGCCAACAGTGGAAGAGATACAAATGGTTGTCAGTTTTTTATTACCTGTGCTAAAACAGATTTCCTGGATAACAAGCATGTAGTTTTTGGTATGTTGAAACAGTTTAAATAGTGTATTAGAATCATTTGTCAACAGCTATGTCTAAAATATGCAATTGAATAATAAGAAAACAATTATTTACTTTCTTATAGAGTGGTTAATTGCAAATTGAGATGCTTTTTAATAAAAAAGTTTTTATACAGCCACATTATAATGTTTATATCTATTGTCCATCTGTTCACATTAGAAACTATTGTATTGATCTATTTTAAATAGATTTTCATGTGTTTTTATATGCCCGCATGATATGGGGTATAATTGCCGTCGCCTCTTGCCGTCCGTCAGTCCATTCCGCCGTCCACAATTGCTCGTAAACACTCTACAAGGCACAATTCTTGACTGATTTCGACGAAACTTGGTATGGTTGTTTGTAATCACCCAAGGATGAACCCTATTGAAAATCAGACGAATCGAAAAATATTTACTATGAGTTATTGCCCTTGTTCTTGAAACGCTCCTAAACACTCTAGAAGGTGCAATTCATGACGGATTTTGATGAAACTTGGTACGAGTGTTCGTAATTGCCCAAGGATAAACCCCATTGAAAATCAGAAAAATTGATATTTAGTATTAGTTATTGCCCTTGTTCTTGAAATGCGTTCAATTTTTAGTTTGTAAACACCCTAGAAGGCACAATTCATGACGGATATTGACGAAACTTGGCATGAGTTTTGGTTATTACCCATGAATAAACCCTATTGAAAATCAGAAAAATTGAAAAATATTTAGTATGAGTTATTGCCCTGATTTAATCTTAAATTTGGTGTGATCATTTCATAATGATGATGTGAGAATTTTATGAAATTTTGTGTTAAATTAAATCAACAATATCTTTGACAAATTAGATTTTTGGTACGATTTGACACAGATTGACGAGCATCTTTGATATACTGAAAATTTATCATAGAAGTGTGCAAATCTTGTATGCAACCACTTGTTTTTATTTTACCTACCAAATACAGGAGTGTGCATTAATGAATTGTTGATGTTAAAATTTGATATGAAAAGGCAATCAGATTCTCGTTTTACAAGATAGTAAAGCAAATAACCTTTATATATTTTTAGGAAAAGTTATTGATGGCCATCTTGTTTTGCGGAAAATAGAAAACGTTCCAACAGGACCAAACAACAAGCCTAAAATACCTGTGACTATATCTCAATGTGGTGAAATGTGACAAAGGAGTTTGTGTTTTCACCAAAAATGAGAAAATACATGCCATACAACAAAAGAGGATGTGGTTCAATGTTTAGTACAAGCATATGTCACTGTTTTAAAATTTGTAGATAAACTGGTTCTTTTGCAATGTTAAATGTTATAAGTCTGTGTGGGATGGAAAATGACATCTAATTTGAGAATATTGCTGGATCAAAAAATGAAAATTCAATAATGCGTAGATTTCTAACCCTGTAAATAAAAACGATTCACATAGACCCTTCAGTTCATCTATGTGTGACCATTTTGCTCAATCAACTGTACAAAATGAGTTTATGGGTAATGATGTCTTTACAACTGATTTTTGTGCTGTGAAATAGATCACCTTCAATGCCTAGTCAATTTGCCAGTTCTGTTTACTGGGTCAATTTTTGAAAGTCACTACTTTCAGGGAGACATTGGTCATACTAATGATATTTAAGCATTGTAGTTTAATATAACATCTCAATTTAAACAGTCATTTTAACTTAAATACAAATAGAAATTTCATTACACTATCAATATTAATTAACATGGATGTATTGATTAAATAACAGGCCATGGAAACAAGGTAAGATATTCAGAATCATTGATATTGATCAAGTTACCATAACATTTTAACAAACTCAGGCTAATTTGCTCAAGGGTGGAAAAAATAGTTGAGCAAACTAAAATTTGATTTGAAGAGGAGCACAAATGATCAGAAAAGCAAAAAAATATTTCTCTCTTCTGCAATCAAGAATAGCAAATTATTTTATCTCATTAAAATGAAGATCTAGATATTTTTCCACCTGCCATCCATGAACCTTTCTGCATCATTTAATATTCCACCAACTTCATGCTCTGTTCAATGAAATATATCCATACTGTACGAGGAATAAAAATCTGAAAAGTTCCAACAGCCATTTCAATGCTGAACATATTTGGATTTTTATAAATGACCAGTAATTAAAAATAATAAAGAACACGATACATAAATTAAAAATGAGGTAATGATTGCCATAGTATAAAATAAAAAGAGGGAAAGTTATATAAAAGAAAATGGTGTCTGATTTGCTTTGAATATTTTGAAATAACTACTGATATATTCCAAAGGAGAGTTAAAACAATGTGATGAAGGAGTACTCCATCTTTTGACATTAAAACACATCCAAAATGATTCTAACCAATTCTTGTTATTTGATGCCTGTTCACACTTCCCCTTAGTATTATCAGAGTATTGCAGGATTAAGGTTGTTAGCCAGGATTTAAGCAAAATACAGGTATAATCGAAGAGAAATATGTTGCCTACCTATTCTCAAGGTTTCAACTAAGAATATCGAGCAAGCCGTTATAAAGCCAAACACCAAAACTATATCAAACTGTTTAATTAACAATTAGAATGTTCTGTTTTTATACGCCCACATCTCTCTACGTGGACGTATATTGTCGGCACCCCTGTCCGTCGGTCCGTCAACATTTGCTTGTAAACGCTCTAAAAACTAGATTTTTTGTTGGAAACTAATGAAAGCTGTGCTTTACAGTAAAGGTAATTACAAAATGTCAAGTGAGCATTCAACTATATTTCATTCACATATTGTGCTATTAGCCACGTTCCGTAAGCAATGGTAGATTGTGTAGATTAGATTAGGACATTACAGACTCTTTCAGGCTGTGATCAAAATCAAGATAGCTTGACATGCAAGGTAATATACGCCTACCAGCTGTCAGAAATGTTAACTAAGTCTTTATAAAATGGCTAAATAATGAATTTTCAAATGAGTCAAAGCAAATTGAAACATGAACGAGGCTTCATCGACGTTAACACAACAGCAATAACTCTGAAACCATTCATGTGTTTTTCACTTATTTCAAAATTTACTGAGATCTCATCAGTATCTACATGTATACCAAGTTTCATCAAAATCCGATAAAAACTAGCCTACAAATTTGACACGTTTTTACTAAGTTAAGGGAATAACTCTAAAACCATTCATCCGATTACTACCGATTTCAAACTTGACCGAGAATTCGTCAATATATACATGGATACCAAGTTTCATCAAGATCAGATAAAAGCTGTAGCCTCTATCGTGCATACAAGAAATGTTGACAAAAGAACAGGGGCAATTGCAATATAGGTCCACATTTCCATGTGGGCAAAAAAACTTCACTTCAGCATCTTTTAAAATCTTGATTCTTGTTTCTCCTTATAATAGATGTTTGAACATTTCCACTTCATTTTGTAACAACTAAAACATAAAGTATTGGGTATCAAAAATTCTATTCTACTATGTCTCAGTCATTTGTGAGATAACAATATGAAAGCTGATTGGTTTATATACATACATATACATGCAAATAAACAGGAATAATTAATTATGAAAGCCCAATATAAAAAAATTCTGAATATTAAATTCATTGTTAAATTAACTTAACATCCTTACATTTTGGAGGTAACTAACTGTTTTATAGAGGAAATACCCTGTGCTTTCAGGTAGAAATAGATACATGTAGTCCATAAAGTGGTTAAAGATTTCATCAATAAATAGGTTTTTAACAAAAATAAAAGCTTATTACGGATCAAATTATTACAAAAGTTACTTCTAAATTAAGTACTTAATAGAGATACAGATCATATTCTCTGCCTATCCATCTTTTGGGAGTATAAGTAAGTTATTTGATTTGTTTGTTTTAACAATATATTTGTTTTGGAGAAAAAAAACACATCAGAGCAATACAGAAAGAATCTTGAGGTTTTTGAAAGTTAAGTCACTGACAAAAGTTTGGTAAGTTTTCTCTACTAAAATCGACTATTTCACTATATTTACATATTTCTAATAAAGCTATCTATACCACTAATAACACTATGATATATTTACACTAACAACATAGACAATAAAATATAATAATAAGTAAAACAGAGAAAATAATGTTAAAGTACCGGGATGTCTGGAAGAGATTTCTATAAAAGAACAAAACAATTATTTCATTTATCAAGACTACTCTTAATTGTTCAATTAACTCATCTGCAGTGAGTAAGATACAGGGAACACTTTTCATATAATCAGCTATAACAATAGCAGTCATTCAGCATTTTTGAGGCATACAATAACAAATTCATTAATATTTAAAATCTTGCCATTAAAATTTAGCATATAGGCTAATTAACTCAAAATCCCACTGGACTTAGTAGCAATTATTAAAATCTAATTAAATTAAAACTATATGAAATCACACTCAACATATTCATTAATATTTTTTTTTGTAAATAGGCATGTTATTTATGGTGCAATAAAAGAAATTAAAATAAATAAAGTGAAATAAAATAATAACATTTCTTAAAATTAAGAAGAAGCTGAAAATGGAACATCATACATAAAATAAAACTTGTGATAAAAAAATGTCATGAGCAATTAACTCTACATTGAGACTTGATTACTCAATCAGGATAACAGTGCAATCAAAATAAAGACAACATGCCAGACAAGACAAGTGTATGCCCACAAAGCAGCATTGTTATATTTTCTGATACAATTAAAAACAGCATGATAAAAGTAATATTGTTTAGTTCAGTTGATTGATACATTATCTTCATCAAGGGAAATAACTAAAAAATATAGTGTTCACGAGATATATTGACAGACAATCTAAGGTGATGACAATATGTCAATATTTTCATGTTGGCATATAATGAAATGCTTATTTTTTGGATAACTTACTAATTCAGCATTACTCTAAAGCTGGGAATATGTCATGATAAAAAAAAAATGCAAATACCCTTGTTTTGATTGTTCAAGTAGAACTAAACAATATTTGAATCAACATCAATCATAAAACCAATTTTCAAGTTTTCAGTATAGAATGCAATTTGTTATAATTTAAGAGAATTATGTAATATTTTAGATGTTTCTTGACATCGTTTCTGTAATGTTATATTATAAAAACTATTCAAAGGTAATTCAACTTGAAACTGTTTCTTCCAACATGCTGATAAAGCTGTGGAGAATTTCTCTTTTTCTTTAGATGAATTAAAGTATAACACCCATTCTTCACTGGATATTGATGTATCTTGTGAATCAAATTCCTGAAAACAGAACAGTATTTTTATAAATTTACCAAAAATTAACTTGACCAAAATCTCTACGTCCAAATATAATCCGAAGGTATGGTATCCAAAAATGCTTATATTATGAACAAGGTAAATAGTTCCCATACTGATAATTCCAGAAACTATTAACAAATATAGCTTGCCAGGCAAGGTAACATACGCCAACAGATAGCTTTGATTGTAAGTATGATGAAATTCGATATATATACCATTTTCATAACGACATAGACATACAAAATAAAAATCAAAAGAATCTGTAAAAAATTGTAGCCTGTAGAGTGAGCACGAGTTGCACAAAATAGCTAATAGAGAAAAACGTCAAGTCAGACAGGATATTTCGGTAAAAAATTATCCGATCATCACGAAAATCGATAGGGATCATCTTCATAATGACATTGACACACAAAATCAAAATCAAAAGAATCTGTAAAAAATTGTAGCGTGTAGAGTGAGCATGAGTTGCACAATATAGCTAATAGAGAAAAACGTCAAGTCAGACACGATATTTCGGTGAAAAATTATCCGATCATCATGAAAATCGATAGGGATCATCTTCATAATGACATTGACACACAAAATCAAAATCAAAAGAATCCATAAAGAACTGTAGCCTGTAGAGTGAGCACAAGTTGCACAATATAGCTAATAGAGTAAAATTTCAAGTCAGACAGGATATTTTGGTGAAAAATTATCCGATCACAAAAAAATCGATAAGGATCATCTTCATAATGACATTGACACACAAAATCAAAATCAAAAGAATCTGTAAAAAATTGTAGCCTGTAGAGTGAGCACGAGTTGCACAATATAGCTAATAGAGAAAAACGTCAAGTCAGACACGATATTTCGGTGAAAAATTATCCGATCATCATGAAAATCGATAGGGATCATCTTCATAATGACATTGACACACAAAATCAAAATCAAAAGGATCTGTAAAAAATTGTAGCCTGTAGAGTGAGCACGAGTTGCACAATATAGC